CACCGAGGCTTATTAATTATAAATACTTGTCCTTAGGCTGGGCAGTGGTGGCACATGCCTTTAATCCTAGCACCCATGAGGCAGAGAAAGGTGGATCTCTGTGAGTTTGAGGCCAGCCTGGTCTACAGAGTGAATTCCAGGATGTCCAAGGCTACTCTGTGTCAGCAACCCCCACCAAAAAAATGACCCTTCCTGTTGCCTGGCAGCCCAGGCCTGAGATGATAAGGTCCCTTGGCTCTGGCTTGTGGGTGAAACCTTCTGACTGTGGATATTGAACTCTAGCCTGAGTGACTTGAGGCCTTCTTGACTTGACTTACACACACATAAGTACTTATGAACAAGGTACAAGAATTTGCCCCCGCCTCACTTTGGGCCATGGCAGCCTACACACTTTTTTTTGTTTGTTTTTGTTTTGTTTGTTTTGTGTTTTTTTTTAGTTTTTTTTTTCAAGACAGGGTCTCTCTAGCATTGGAGGCTGTCCTGGAACTAGCTTTTGTAGAACAGGCTAGTGTCAAACTCACAGAGATCTGCCAGCCCCTGCCTCCTGAGTGCTGGGATTAAAAGCGTGTGCCACCAATGCCTGGCTTCCCACTTGTTCTTTAATGGAGGTATTTATGGCAGATGTGAAACTGCTGATGCATCACCCTTGGTCTTCCTCTCTCAGACAGATTCTGTGTAGTGATTTTCATGCAGGTTTTCTGCTGCTGATGTCTTTAAAAGAACCCGGTATGAATCAGATGGCGTGTACCTGTTACTTCATAGGGCAGGAAAATAGATTTCTAGGGCTAGCCTCTGCTACAGAGAGTTAAGAGGCATCCTGAATAACTTAGTAAGATTATGTTTTAACTCCCCTGCAGAAAGAAACACATGTTCTTCCATAAACTGCACAAATTTTGCCTGTGTGCTATACATCTTCTACCAGGATATAAATGCCCTTAGTCCAGAACACACACATACTGTAGTCCAGAATATGCTTTTAGTTGGCACATGTTGTGAGTCTTTCTCTGTCTCACCAGCCAGCTTGCAAATCATGAGACTTCTTCTTATTAATTATGAATGCTTGGCCAGTAGCTTAGGCTTCTTTGTAACTACTTTAAATTAACCCATTTCTATTAATGTACTACTAGGTGGCTCATGGTTTGTTCCCTCATCTCCCAAATGTCATGCTTCTTCCATGTTTCCTTGAGTCTACCCTTCTTACCAGCATCCTTGTGCCTGGAAATCCTGTCTAGCTATCGACCATTTAGCTTTTTACTAAACCAATCACAGTGACATACCTTTACACAGTGTAATCAAATATGTCACAACACAATACATGCTCTTAGTAGTTTGGTATCCCTAGTCCTAATAATCCTAACAGGCATCCTTTTCATCTAGCACTGGGCTGGTTTAGAACACCTTTCCCATGAATGGCTTTGCTGCCCATTGATGTCCTTTTCTAAGTAGTTACTGAGTTTTGTTTTCTTAGTGCTGTATGATGGTTTTCCTTGGGCTAGTACTTGTACAGCACTTGTTTCAAATGCTTCCAATTTTTTTTCTGTTCTCATTTTCATATTTGGAGTGTCCTCTTTCCTATATCCCATTCATTCCCAAGGCAGGGTGTTTGCCTTGCTTCAATTACATGACTGGTCTATTTGGATTTGTTTGGAGCTTGTAACAGGTGACAGCAAGGGATATATGAGTGCAGAGGGCATCCTGAGTGTCTTATAGCTGAGTCCCAGCATTTGGACACTGCTGTTTGTGTAAATGAAGGGGAGGAAGAACGACTGGATTCCTATGCCATTTTTTTTCTAGTCCTGGAAACAGAATCCAGAGCCTTGTGCATGCTAAGCAGAAACTGTACCACTGAGAGTAGTCTGAAGGTCAGAAATGCCTCAGGCAGACAGGATTCCATGTAGGATAAGAGCTGCTGTTGTCTCTAGCCATGTACCTGGTCCCACACGGCTTTGTGCAGTCAGTCAGTGCCTTGTGTATTTCCATCTTATTGGGAGCCTTTATCCACTCTAGAAGGATTTCTTACTTCTTCCTTGTAACAAATTCTTTCCTATATACCTTCACTAGTTCTTGATGGTTGCCATGATCTGAAGAGGGAGAGGAGTCCAAGGAGTTGACCACTACTTAGGCCAGGAGAGCCCTCTGATCTTCTATAGGCAGTCTCTTTTGCTCCTTTTCTAAGGTGCTAAGAGTGTTCCCAGCCCCCACCTGCCTGCCCTGCAAGCTCTTCCCTGTGCCTGGTTTCCATGGTAACATGGCTGCTGGGTAACTTAATGATTCCAGGGAGAAAGGCATTCCTGTGGTTCTGTGTCACCTGAACATCCCACCCTGTGCTTGTGCTCTTGGGATTTTGCTGCCTTGGGATTTTCAGGGTAACTCCTCTCACACAGAAACCTAGATCATCTCTGACCTCTTCTGCCTCTTTGTTTCCATTTAAGAGTAGTGATGAGTTAGCAGATGTTACAAAACAAGACTAAGTTGTGAGCTGTATTCAAGCCACAATGAGCAGAGTAAAGAAATGTGAAGCCACACACCATCAAGTGTTTACTTCCGGACACACAGAATGGAAATAATGCCAAGCACACAGATGACAGTGGAGTGTAGTAAAGCAATTAGAGAGCCAGGAGGCTTAGTATTTATTGCCTTTGTTTCTAATTCTATTCATTCAGCTGCAAGTTCTCAGTCACAGTGCTGATATGCATGTCTATTTGTAACAGCAGACTCTAGCCACTGCTGGGGAGGCCATTCCTCCCATCCGTGTCAAGGGCCTTTCCCTGCACACACCCTGGCTAGTGTCCTGTATATAGTCCTTTCCTAGTCTCCCTGACTAACTGTGGCCCCTATAGAAGACTGCTTTTCTGGCTCTCCCCTTCCCTTTCTCCCTCTCTATGTTCTTATCACCCTCCTTCCAGTCTCCTCTTTCCCATTTTTTGTTTTGTTTTGTTTTGAGGTAGAATCTCATGTAGCTCAGGCTGATGTTTAATTCTCCATATAGAGGAGAATGACCTTGAACTGATTTCTGTGCCTCCTGAGTCATGCTGAGTGTGCCACCACACCCAGCTCCATCTAATTATTTAGAAATACTATTCTAGAATATGTCTTGCTTAAGGGAAGCTGTTTCCCTTGAAAATGTTCTAGTAATTCTGCTTCAAGAAAGATTTATCTACTGTTGATAACTACATATTTCACAAAGATACTTGAAAAATATCCCAATTCTTTTTTGTTTGTTCTGTTTTGTTTTTCAAGACAGGTTTTCTGTGTATAACACCCCTGGCTGCCCTGGAACTCACTCTGTCGACCAGACTGGCCTCAAACTCACAAAGATCTGCCTGCCTCTGCCTCCTGAGTGCTGGGATTAAAGGTGTGTCACCATCACCCAGGTACTAAACACTTTATATTAAAAAATTGCAAATGGTCTTGCTATATAGTAGGGACATGAGCAGTATGATTTGAAGGATCTCCCCTACCTTATAATATACATAAAAAGAAGACTGGCAGGATTTCTTCTAATGCATGGTTTGTTATGTAGCTAAGAGTAACTTTTAAACTTCTGATCTTCCTACCTCTTGCCTCCTTTTTCCAAGGTCTTGTATTAAAAGGCACAAGCCACCATACTCATCTCTTCTTTTCTTAGGGTTTTGCTCTGTATGGCCTCAAACTCACAGTGATCCTCTCCAGCCTCCCAAGGGTCACCTCTATTTTTGGCCCATCACTTACTTTGCACCTACACAAGGATGCTGCCTACCTCTTTTCTAGGTGGGGGTGATAGCTGGCTCCATACCAGTAAGCTCATCCCAGTAAGGACCAATGGGTATGGTCTTGCTCACTCCAGAAAGGTTTTTCAGCACCTACCATCTCCAGAAACTGCTTCCTGCTTCCCTTGCTGGCCTTTGACAAGTGCCCTGATTTGCGGTGGCATCTGCTTGTTATGTCCCATCACTTTTTTTGTCCCATATCAAAAGAAGATTTAAGGAGTGAGGCAAACTGCTCTAGAACTTAACAGACTGGCTGGGCTGTAGGCAACCTTCTGCCAAGAGGTACTTACTTTCCCACCTAGTGATGGGCTTCCTTCCTTTCCCAGCCAGGGGCTTGGCCTGCTTCTATCTGAAAAGCCACTCCCTCCACCCCTAATTCCTACCCAGCATTCTGCTCTTTCTACCTAGCTGTTCCCAGTCCTGCTTCTGCCTCAGGCATCCTCCTTTGCCCGTCATTCTGGCCACTACTGTAAGGCTCTCTTTAACTCAATTTGTTCACCTGGCTGAACCTCACTTTCCTCATCTGCTCAACAGAGGCATTCCTTGTGTCTCCCTTAAAGTTGTCAGGTTGTTGGATTTCATGGGGACTCATTTTTGGAGCCCTGCCTGCAACCTGGTGCATGGCAAGTGCCCAGGAAATTGTGCTGGCCTTGTCACATCTTTTACGACACCTTGTAATTCTACATCTTTTTTTTTTTTTTTTTTAAATGTCAGGAGGTTCTCTCTCTTCAAGACGGTTGTCATCAGGAGGAATAGCCCATTTCCTTGTACATTTTACTGTTTTCCCCTTCCCTGTGGGTTTTTTTTTTTCTGTACTTGATTGTGTGGCCCTAGTGTTGGGTGGGCACAAATTGACATTCACTAAGGCTGACTAGATTATCTCAGTCATCAAGAAGGGATGCTAGATCTTCTAGATGCTAGAGGAGAGGCAGACCCTGAAGGGAAGATTAGAGGGCTTTCCTTCCTGGTGGAGGAGCGACTGCACATGTTTTCAGGTGATGGCAGAACCCTGTGCAGACACTTCATCACTAAAGAGTTACAATACTCAGACAGATTCTGGGGTGGAGGCTGTCAAATGGGTCTGCCTGGGAAGGATGGCACCAGGGGTAGCTATGGCTGTGGGTGGAGAGCATATGCCTTGACTGAAGAGGTCTGGGTGCTGGCTAGCAGTGCAGGGTCCTGCTTGCCTTCACCTCCAGAGGGGAAGAGCCAGCCCATGAGGATTCTCACAGAGGCATATCTCTGCCACAGGTGAACGGGAAGGAGCTCTCCAAGCTGTCTCAGGAACAAACCCTGGAGGCCCTGCGTGCCTCCAAAGAGCCCCTGGTGATCCAGGTGCTGAGACGCAGCCCCCGTCTGCGGGGGGACAGCTCCTGCCATGACCTTCAGCTGGTGGACAGTGGCACTCAGACCGACATCACCTTCGAGCATATCATGGCACTGGGCAAGCTGCGCCCACCCACCCCACCCATGGGCGTCTTGGAGCCGTACGTCCTCTCTGAGCTGTGAGTTGCCCTCAGGAGGGCCTAGGCCCTGCCTCCAGAGAGGGCATGCCATTTGGGGCAGTTGTCCCTGTGTGACCCACAGGTGGCTTGCTGCAGCTCTATCCATGGTGGTGAAACCCAGCTCAGCTGCCACTCTTGAGCAGAAAGCAGGTTCCTTAATCTCTATAGCTAACAGTAGCACTTGGACTCAGGAACCTCCAGGCCTCTGGCCTCAGGTTTGGCACCAGCCAGCAGAAAGGCTAAGGGGGAGCCTATGTGCTCGGTACCTGGCCGCTCCTCCATCCTCTTTCTTCTGCCCCATCTTCTCTGCCTCCTCACAAGCATTTCTCCTTGAATCTTATTGCATCCTTTGCCTGTCCCATTCTTCTACCTGCTCTGAATTTCCTCCATCTCTTTGGCTTCTTTCTTTGGCCCTCTCAAAAGAGGGGCCTTTCATCCTGGCTTGGTGGCTGTGACCATATGAACAGCACTGACTCATTCTGCTAATCCTACTGGGAGATTCAGGGAGGTGGTCCTGGGAGCCCTTTTTGTTCAGAGAGGTAGGCCACAGGGCAGTGGGTAGTCCGTCTTAATTTTGGGGTAAGGAGGGCAACCCCTCCCTGGAGGCAGAGGGGTGCTTGTCTGTTCTGCAGAAAGCCTGGATAACTCCTGAGGGTTCTGCATGAGTGGGAACAGTGCCAGACATAGCCTAGGCACTTAAGAGTTTTGGAGAAGACAGTCCCTGGTCTTGGAGATGAGATGGGAGAACTAGGTGTGCCTGCCTAGGTTCTTAGGATGGACCCCTTCGAGCTCTTACTTGAGGAACATTCTTGATCCTTCCACAGCATTTGTGTAGATCAGAAAGGAGGGTTTAACAGGTAGTGGTGGTACATGCCTTTCCAATTGGGAGGCAGAGGCAGGTGGATTTCTGTGAGTTCGAAGCCAGCCTGATGTACAAAGTGAGATCCCTGACAGGCTCCAAAGCTACACAGAGAGACCCTGTTTTGGGGTAGAAAAAAAGAATTCTACAGGCAGCAGCTTGGACACCTTCCCTAGAAATTATATCTAGAACAGGGTTCTCTGCTTACTACACTGGGACTGGCCAGCTTGGAGCTGGGGCTAGGGTACCAAAGAAACAGATGGCCCATCTGACCCCCCCTTCTCCTGGGCAGCCCCCCCATCAGCCATGAGTATTATGACCCAGCGGAGTTCATGGAGGGCGGCCCACAGGAGGCAGAGCGAATGGACGAGCTGGAGTATGAGGTGAGCCTAGTGGCTGGCCTGGCCAGTCTGACTAGCCAGAAAAGCCTGAGCAGGCTCACTTTCTGCAGCTCTGCCCAGGCTTGGCTCCTGCTGCCCCCTTGTGGCTGGGCCTCATGACCCTTCCCAGTAGAGAGCAGCCTGAGTCAGGGAGGGTGTGGGTGAGGTGGTGTGTTCCTTCTGTCTGTGTTGGTGACTGTGTCCCATGCATGTATGTGTCCTGTGTATATATCCTATGTCTTGGGCGTTTCCTGGTAGGGAAACCACTGAACACTTGCGACACTTACAATGGTAAGAGAAGGGAGCCCTCAAAGCCAAGGGCTGCATACTCAATTCAGGTAACTGAAGCAGAAGACATGGGGGTGTTGGGGGTGCTAGGGCTAGGGTCTGGGCCAGGTCTGCAGACACCCCTGCTCATACACTTCAGTTCTTTATAACTCTACTTCCTCCCATACCCCTGTGGCAGGAGGTGGAGCTGTGTAAAAACAGCCACCAAGACAAGCTGGGCCTGATGGTCTGCTACCGCACAGATGATGAGGAGGACCTGGGCATCTACGTTGGAGAGGTATGGGGAGGTGCTGTGACAGGCTATGGCACACAGAGCCCTAGAGCTGTTCTAACTGAGCTCTGTGGTCTCTCCACAAAGTCTGTCAAAAATTTAGAGCTGCCCATAGACCTAACAATAGGTTACTGTCGGTTGTGGGTGTCAAGGCCAGCGTAGCTATGGTTTCAGTATATCCAGGGAGACAGTCCTGTCTGTCCAGACATCAAGGACTTAAACACCCCACCTCTTCTCTCCCCATTTCATTCACTTTGGAAGATGTCTATGTATCCAGCAGCAGCCCCTCCACTAGTGCTATCTACAAAGCTACCCTTCCAAATGGAAATAGTCCCACTGCCCAGAACACTCCAGATTCAGATGTATGAAGAAGTATCCAGCCACTTGCCAGTACTAACCAAAAAAAAAAAAAAGCCTGAATTTAGTGTGGTAGCTCAGCCTCTATAATCCCAGCATTTTGAAGGGTCAAGAGTTCAAGGTCACCCTTGGCTTTCATAATGAGTTTGAGGTCAGCCTGAGTTGTTTGGAAACCTATTTCAAAAACACAAGTCAGATGTGGGTAATGTGTCTTTTTAAACCCAGCACTGAAGAGGCAAAGGTATGTAGATTTCTTTGAGCTTGAGGTTAGCTAGAGCTACACAGACTGTTTTTAAAAAGTGTGTGGGGATATGGGGGATAATCTGGAAGTATGGTTCTTACTGGTCTTCCAGAGGACCTGAGTTCAATTCCCAGAAGCCACATAAGATATCTCACAACCACCTCTAACCCAGCTCCAGAGCACCCAACACCTTCTTCTGGACTACCACCAGTACCTATACTCAGATGTGCACATACTTAAAAAATGAAAATAAAACAAAACTTTTTTTCAAAAGTATAGTTCAATGGTATAGTTCAGTATTAAGTGCTTCCCTAACATACACAAGGCTCTAGGTTTCTTAGCACTGAAAAAAAAAAAAAAAGACTTTGATGAAATGGTATAGCAGTATAAGGGATAGATGTAAAATACAGAAGTGTTGGGTAGAGGCTAGGGAGCTACTTCTGATCATTCTGCATCTTCCAAGCTGAGGAAGCAAACTGCCTGGGCCCACAGTCCTGCCCCTGCTCCCTAGACCTTGGAAGCTGTTACTCTGAGGTGAGGTGGTAAAGAGAGCAAGTCTGGCATTTGCCTTGGTAATACACCAATGTGCGGCTACCCATACGTACCCACTTGTGCTGAAAAGGACACCATAGGTGCCCAAGTCCCCAAGATGCATGTGTCCTGCAGGTAAATCCCAACAGCATTGCAGCCAAAGACGGCCGGATCCGTGAGGGAGACCGAATCATCCAGGTGAGCACTCATGGTCAGGTTGCCATGCCTGCCTTGTGGCAGCCCTATCCTCTCTCTTCATGGTCCATTCCTAGATCTTTTCTGCTGAGAACCTAACCTTATACGCTGGAACCTGGACCAAATCTCGGTTCTGTTTAACTGTCCTAAGTGGCTCACATGTATCCCTGCCAGCATCCCCCACCCCCGCCCTCTTTTCCCTTTATCTCTGCTCCCCATTCTCTGAGCATACATGCTCTTGCAGAGGCCAGGCCATCCTTTCCCCTGATGCATTTTGCTTATCTATGCCTTCCCAGAGTTCAAGATCCTGTCCTTAGCACAGAGTCCTCCATTATCATTCTTGTTGATTGTCCCCTGGACCTCTGCAGATTAATGGAATGGATGTCCAGAACCGAGAGGAAGCAGTGGCCATCCTGAGCCAGGAGGAGAACACCAACATCTCCCTGCTGGTGGCCCGTCCTGAGAGCCAGGTGTGTATGTCCACCTGATTAGGGTGACATAGAGCCCCTCATAGGTTTTCTGTCTTGAAGCTACTGGTCTGTTTTACTTCACTGAGAGCATAGGACCTAAGGCAATATGGAGGGGCATTGGGGAAGTCTTTAAATTATTGGCTAACTTCTGTCTGTCTCTGCAGCTAGCAAAGCGGTGGAAAGACAGTGACAGAGATGACTTCCTAGATGACTTTGGGTCTGAGAATGAAGGGGACCTCCGTGCCCGGAAGCTGAAGTCACCCCCTGCCCAGCAGGTAAGGAAGGATGATGGCCTGATTAGTGGAGAGGGAAAGAGGAGAAAGGGGCTGTAGGAATACATGGGTTTCTGACCTGGGCCTGGAGAGGAACAAGCTGTGAACTTCTTTCTAGTACTATTACATCATACTTGTCTATGGGAATCTAACTGACTTTATCATTTCTCTTCCAGACTGGAAATGATGAGAAGGGGGCTCCTGAAGGGGGCCCACGACTAAGCAACAGCCAAGAGCTGGACAGCGGGGTGGGCCGGACTGATGAGAGTACCCGCAATGAAGAGAGTTCCGAACATGACCTGCTGGGGGATGAGCCCCCCAGTACCACCAATACCCCTGGAAGCCTGCGCAAGTTTGGCCCACAAGGGGATGCCCTGCAGAGCAGGGACTTCCACTTCAGCATGGACTCTCTGCTGGCCGAGGGGGCAGGACTGGGAGGGGCTGACCTTCCTGGGCTCACTGATGAGGAGTATGAACGCTACCGGGAACTGCTGGAGATCAAGTGCCACTTGGAGAATGGCAACCAGCTAGGAATCTTCTTCTCCCGGGCTTCCAGTGGGAACAGTGCCCTGGATGTCAACCGCAATGAGAGCCTAGGCCATGAGATGGCCATGCTGGAGGAGGAGCTTCGGCACCTAGAGTTCAAGTGCCGCAATATCTTGCGGGCACAGAAGATGCAGCAGTTGCGGGAGCGCTGTATGAAGGCCTGGTTGCTGGAGGAGGAGAGCCTCTATGACCTGGCAGCCAGTGAGCCCAAAAAGCACGAGCTGTCTGATATCTCTGAAGTACCAGAGAAATCAGACAAAGATAGCACCAGTGCCTACAACACTGGGGAGAGCTGCCGTAGCACTCCACTGCTCATGGAGCCTCTGCCTGAGAGCCCCCTGAAGCGATCTACTGCTGGCAATTCCAACTTGAACCGGATCCCTTCTGGCCCTCCTGTCATCACCCACCCTAAAGGGGCTCCTTCACCAGCCAAGTTTCGATCACTCTCTCGGGATCCTGAGGGGGCCCGGAGACCGCACACAGAGGAGCGTGTCCGCCGCAGTGCCAAGACAGGTATTACACTGGAGCGTGTAGGCCCTGAAGGCAGCCCTTACCTCTCCAGGCGCCGTCATGGCCAGGAGAGTGAGCACTACCACAGCTGTGTGCAGTTGGCCCCACCACGCACACTGGAGGATCTGGGCCATGGCTCCTTGAGCTTGGCTAGTGGTCCTCGGGTAAGTGGGGTGGTGGCTGCAGCTGTTGAAGCACCCCGCATGGAATGGAAGGTGAAGGTGCGAAGTGATGGAACCCGCTATGTGGCCAAGCGGCCTGTGCGAGATCGGTTGCTGAAGGCGAGGGCCCTGAAGATTCGTGAGGAACGCAGTGGCATGACCACTGACGATGATGCAGTAAGTGAGATGAAGATGGGCCGCTACTGGAGCAAGGAAGAGAGGAAGCAGCACCTGATCCGAGCAAGGGAGCAACGAAAGCGGCGTGAGTTCATGATGCAGAGCCGCCTGGAGTGTCTAAGGGAGCAGCAGAATGGTGACAGCAAGCCTGAGCTCAACATCATTGCACTGAGCCACCGTAAAACCATGAAGAAGCGAAACAAGAAGATCCTGGACAACTGGATCACCATCCAGGAGATGCTGGCCCATGGTGCCCGCTCAGCTGATGGAAAAAGGATCTACAACCCTCTGCTCTCTGTCACCACTGTCTGAGCTGTCCCAGCAGGAGCCCAGTGCAGGCCTACAGAGCCTGACCTTCACCCTTCCTTAGAATCTAGTATGTGTCTGTGTGTGCTTGCACGCTGTGCTCATGCACACTCCTGTATCTGTACGTGTGCACAGGACTTTGGTAATAGAAAGCCCCTAAAAGGAACCCCTCTCTCTCACCACCTATTTTCTTTTACCCAATAGGCTATGCCAACAGCCAGCATAGAGGGTATACCCATAAAGGGCACCTGTGTGTGCATGCATGTTTGTGTGGGCACACAGTGTTCTTGGTTTGTTCTTGGAGACAGGGAACTCATTACAGAGAGAGGTGAGGTGGACTGTCCTAAGCACAAGAGAATGACCAGCTTGCTGAGCACGGCCTCTCCCCACCCCTGGAAGCTGCAGTTATTTGTAGACAAAGGCAAACCTGAATTTTGTGGCTTTTTTTCCTTTTATGTGCTTGTCAATAGTTGTTTTCTGTTTTGTGGACCTGCTCTGGGGGTTGGCAGATCCTTCAGGCAGCCTGACAAAGGTAGATCCCACTGAATGCTGGCTGGGAAGGAGGTTGGGGGGAGGAAAGGAGGGAGGGTTGGGTGGGAGGGAAAGCAAGGGAGTGGGGAAGAATAAGCAGCAGCTTTCCTGGTGGTCTCTACTCTGAGGGGTGGCAGGGAGGATCTGAGTTGGCTTTCAAGGTACACCCATGGGGCCCACTTCCTTCCCCAGTGACTGAAAGAGAATGAAATCACAGGGATTGTGGGCACAGTATCCATCTAAAAAGAATTTGCTGACCCCTGGCCTATGCCGTCTGGAGCAGAGCCACTCTTCTTAGTGGCCTGAGCCAAGGAGATTAGATGTCCAGGGCTTTGAGAAGCTAAACCCAGTGGATACCATAGACCTCACTTAGCCTAGAGATCTGGTAGGAGTTGGGAGGTCTGGACCTAATGAAAGTAAAGTTGGCTGAATGAGAGATGTGAGAGATGTACCTTTCCAATGTACCACTTGTTGGGTGCCTCAGGCTTGGTGAATTTGTATTGGAGGCTACAGGATACCTGTTCCCCACCTACACCCCAAGAATAAAGCAAGCTGCCTTTTTACTCTGTTGATTGGACTCCCTGTGTTCATTGTCATCATGCTGCTGTGTTGGGAGATGTTGGTTCGTTAGTTCCCAAATGCCCAGATTTTCAAGCAAATTGGTGGTGGACAAGATGTTAAGATGGATTTGAGTGGGAAATCTGGGGCCCATTCCCAGAAGCTGAGTCCTATTGATGGGAAGGCTGGTTGGGTCACAAGGACACTGCCTTATTTCCCTGCCACTCAACAACTCTAGGTGGGAATGTACATTGTAGCCCTGCTGGTGAATAGGGAGGGGAAAGAGACTTGTAGAGGGCTAGGTGCTTCTAGGGGCATCTCCATCTCCCTACCCCTTCCCCGTTAAGGAGACCAAGGCCAAGTATCCCTTGGGCATCCCTCTACCTGCTGATAGCTTTGGAGTCATCCCATTGTAAATGTTGACAAGGTCTCAGGACCAGGATACTGTTTTGAGCCCTATCCTATGCTTCCTTGACCAGTTCAGGGAGAGGTGGCATCAAGAGGGCTGGCAGCATTGGGTTACTGATGCTCTGGAATACCAACTTCACATTCAGTTATCATTGCCAGGTGGTAGGGCCAGAACCAGAAAGAGCAACTGGTTGGCCAATAGCTGTTGCCACTGGCTGTCTAAACATTTGTACCTCAGCATCCAAGGGGAAAAGCTACTTCTCCCACCTCTGGCCTTTCCTAAATTTACAATTCTCTTGTTAACCCAATTCTCATACGCTCAGCACCACTCTCTAGGATTGAGGATGGCAGACCCCTTTCTTAGATGTACCTTGATCACATAAGTTGTACTTACAGGCTCTGACACTTCCCACACCCCAAGCCACCACCCAATCCTACTTTTATAAGACTAGGTACTAGGGTGTGACCAGCTGTTCTAATGACCTATCCTGGAGATGAGACAGCATTAGAAATGTGGCTTTAAGCATCCAGCCTCTTCCCTCAACTAGTCTTCCATAGTACTAAGGAAGATTACTCAAGTGCTGGTGTCCAGCTTGTGCTAAAACCTGACCAAGAGGAAATATGGAGTATAAGCAGGGCTTCCTGACCCTTGCCTGACAGGCCCTTTCATGCTCAGAGACCTCACTAGGGAAGGAACATAATTTTGGAGGTGTGGGAGGCTGCTCTTCAAAGATCCAGCACTAGACTAGATGTTGTGAGCAGCAGCAGGACAGTAAGCAACATGGAGTGTTTAGGGTTACGAGTCCAGGAGTGTTCACCAATGCTTACGGTAGTTGGTACATGTGACAACTTCAACTACATCAGCAAGACAGGGCCTCATTGCTAAGCAAAGAATAAAAGCACTTGCTTGTAGCTTATGACCATCCCTACCACAAAGATGAGGCTGGTTGCAATGGTTCTGACTGATGAACTTGGCGGAGACTAGCAAAGGCACTTGCCTTCTCTGTGTGGAAAGATGCCATTCCCAAGCACAGGTATAAAGGAGGCCTGCAGCCCAAAGCAATCCTAAAGAGTTACAGGGTCCTGCCTGCCCTAGGCTGGTCATGGGGAGACTTCCTGAGAAAAAGCCAGGGGGCGACCTAGCTCTGACCTGGGGAACTGGTGAGGACTAGGGGGATGGTCTTTTCTTCCATTTTGACAGGGTTTCTCTATTGTCCTGGCCATCCTGGAAATCACTCTGTAGACCAAGCTGTCCTTGAACTCTCAAGAGACCCACCTGCCTCTGCCTCCTGAGTGCTGGGATTAAAGGTTTATTTCACCACGGCCCTGCTAATAAGATGGTCTTTTCTAAAGAGGCCAAAACAAGAAAAGAGAAGGCCAAAGCCCAAGCCATTTTAGCAATCAAGGTAACGACAGAAGACACTAGGAAAAGTACAGCTCTCCACTCAGCATCTCTGCTGTCCAGGTGAATAAGGGCAGCTGGATCCCCAGCTCTCCCTGTGGACACAGGAGCCTGTATCTTAAATGTACTCATGGCAAATAGCAACTGTTTATTCAAAGAAGCAATAGAGGGCTGAGGGTGCTCCCTTCAGGCCTGGATGTGGCTCTTTGCATTGAAGGCTAGGTAGTAGATCATTATGCCAATTACTGCAGCCAGCACTTCCGTGGAGACCCAAGGCCCATTCCATGTACCCTACAAGAAAAAGACCAAAAGACAGCTCAGGAGAGTAGACCAGCAAATCTTAACCACTTGTCCTCAGGACAGAAATCAGGGCTTTCCCTCAGATTTAACCCAAAAAGATGGAAATGTGCCATGTGTTCTTTGCTCCTAAGGCAAGGCCACTTACCCGGTGGTCCACATTGACTGTAAACAGGGGTGGAATGACAGAAATGTCCTCATTATTTCTCTGAGCCTGTAAGGGAGGTGCTAGGGTCAAAATGTGCTGGATGGGTTGCCCAGATAAGGGAGAAATGAGCAAGAGACAAATGAGGATGCAGGGGCAAGAAGACACCTGCCTCCGCTCCATCCAAGCTAAGCCCCTATAGTGCTGATGGTACAGAAGTGGAATACAGAGTGATCGGGGTGAGAGAACTACAGAAATGGGGCATGCCCCCCTCGAGGCCTCAGAGTTCTCAGATGATACTTGCCTTCCTTAGGAGGCTATAGGACTCTTCATCGAAGAATCTGACCTCATAGGTGCCTGCATGGGCGCTTTTGTGCTCCAGGCTCCATGAAACCTGGTTGGGTATTTGGCAAAGGGTGAGCACAGCAGACACATGAGGGACTACTGTGCTAGTGATGGCTCAGCAACACTATGAGCAGTGCCCGAGTGTTTGGTCTATAACTCTGCTGTGAGCCACTTCCCCAATAACCCTGGATTCAGTATCCCTTACCTGATATCGGCCTACATCCTGGCCCCGGGTTACAGGAAACTGTTTTCCACTAACGTCAGCATACAGAGCCATATTCTGGATGGGGGGGATGAGGACAACAAAGCAAGAGTCACATTTTCCTCCCTTTTCTGGGCATACACAGAACCCCCATTATACTGCCCAAAGCAGTACCATGACTAGGAAGAGTAGGCCAGTTGAGGGCTATATTGTATGGATAGGGGTTGCCATGGAAGACCCAAGGAAAAGGCTTGCCACAGCCCAGAGCCATGCTAGACCACACCCATGGATACTGTCACCATCTTCCTTCATCTGTTTCTGTAGATGTGACTAGAGCTAGATCTCCCCTATGAGCAGCTTAACCCTTAGATGTTGAAAAGTGCCAAATGAGGTATTCAATCCTGACTATTGTCCCGCAAAAGGTTCTATTTCTTCTAGATTTTTTGAAGAGCAGGTCTGAGGTTGAGTTTGGGATTGTCCATTTTAAACTTACAGAACACTCATACAGACACACTCAGGCAAACTGCAACCAGAAAGAAAATGGAGGGGCAAGGGGTCTGACCCTAATTATTTCTTCAATTACAGACATTTATCCAAGAAATAGTGGGGTGTCTATCTACATTACTGCATGGAGGCAAAGCATACCAAGCAGATCAGGAAAATGCTCTTGAAGTACTTGCTAGGATCTGGCCTCGCTGTGCCCTCATCTTTCCTGCACCCTGTGAATTGGAATCCTCATTCTTCCTGTTGATAGGATCCTTGGGTCACTGTCAACTGCCAGTGAGGAACACCCTCATCTCTTCCCCTGCAACCCTTCTGTCTTACCTGGACCCTGTTCTTGCAAGTCAGTGAGATCTCCACGATGAATACAGTCTCTGTAGAAATGACGGCATCTGAGGTTGTATAGTAAGAAGGGGTGATCTGGGGCTCCAGGCAGGCCTCTGCTGTGGGGAAGAGGCAAAGCCAATTTGTGTGTTCCAGGGGAAAAGCAAAAGGGCTTACCCGGGATCTGCCTCTCAGATTTGGTGAGCTGAGGACACACAAGTTCTTCTGGTCCTGACAGGTAGGATCTGGGAGGTAAGTGGATCCTAGTTCTCAGTCTTAAGTATAATGGAAGAGGCCAGTGAAGGATGTTGAGACAGGCCAAGATGGGATAGGGAAGGCTCTGCAAAAGTGAAACTTGAAGCAAAAACATGGAAGGAGCAGAAGTAGTGTGTCTTGAGGACTGCACAGGGCTGCTTTATTGAATTAGTACCAGAATCTAGGACAGGAAGACCACAAAGCAGCTCACCTGGGCCTGGAGCACTGCAGAAGCCCACTGGACCAAGAAAAACAATTCAGAGCCATGTGCTGCCTCCATAGCTTAATGAAAGCAGATACTAAGTGGAATTCTGGCAACACATAAGACTTTCAAAATAAGGGTCTTTAGACCCAGCCAGCTGACACTGTCAAGAATGGTTCTAGTGTTTTATGAGAGAAGTAAACTCTGGACTCAAACAACCAAACTGTCCCTGTAAACTAAGCACCTTTGAAGAAACATGGCTACAGGAAAAAAAGATAAGGGTATTATGTCACAGAGTATTAAGTAAACACTAAATGTCAAAGTCCTCATTCAACTGTCTTCTAAATGTGATGTCTTGAAACCCTTCTGTGCCTTGCTAAGCTGGGCCTTTTTACTGTGGAGCCCGTAATAGGTTTTACAGCCAGGTTTGCCTTTTTAAGACACTACTAGCTACACACTGGGGGATCCCCTGAGATATGAATAGAAAGGTTAGAGGAAGGCTACTTGTATGTATAGAAGCCAAGTACTGTTCAATCCAGGTTCTCAGGTCTGAGGCACTCTAACAACTTCCAAAACGTATGTCTGTACTCTAGACTGAGCTCAACCCCATCATCAGGTGTTACAAATGGCTCACAAATATCAATGGATGTGTGCACAGGTCAATTCTGCTATAAATTTGGAATGGATATACAAGGGCGTCATGAAAGTCAAGGCTCTAGGCACTGAAAGCGTTTGCTGGCTTCTTTGGCCCACTGTCTAACTCGCCTCATGCACTTAAGTCTCTCTGCCTGGAGAGTCCTTGCTTCCTCTTAGCTTTCTCTTGGGGAAACCTGACCTACGCAATATTGATTACTCTCTGCTAGTCCTATTTCTCACACAGGGAATTGCCAGGTACTCATAAGCACTGCTCTTAAGCGACTACCTTCTGACTCAGGAGCATGGTGCGGCTTTGGGGCCAAAAGCAGACAAGGAAGGATTTGGCTGTTTCTTCCAGCAGCCTCGCTGCCGGGTGAACATGTGTGTGGTGCTTTGGTCGCCACTACACGACACCCAGCGTGGGAAGAACCCATTAGCGACTAGACCCGGTAAGGGCCAGACCCCCGCCTAGCGCGCACCCTTCCTCCCCCAGCACCACCTGCCATGGGACAGAGACTCGCCCGAAACAATCTCCAGCCACGCCGCTACCTGAGCAGCAAGATAGGCCGGACAGCAGGAGTAGCGCCAGGGCGCCGAAAGATGCCATCGCCGCCATCGCCTCTTCTCTGCCGAGGGGAAAAGAGAGCAAGCCGCCCTGAACATGCGGAGCAGACGAGGAAGCGCGACGCGTAAGCGGCCTCAGCACCCAATCGTGCGCCGGCGGGCTGGGCCGGACATGGTGACGTCGCTAGCGGCACTGACGTGTCCGCTTCCTTAGCCAGGGTCCCAACCGGTCGTACTTCCCTCCTTCTTCCCCCAACAAGATGGCGGCAACAGTGCTCAAGGCACCGGAAGGTGGCGTAGGAACCGGTGAAACCGCGCGCGTGCGTAGTGATAGTGTTTCGTACCCTGTAGGCCGGACCTCTCGCTGTGCCGAATTCTCGCGAGAACGATGTCTTAACGGTTTGACCTGTAGGGGTCCTCACTTTTCGTTATGGCGCTGAAGGTGGTGATAGCTGCTGGCGGTGCTGCAAGGGCAGGATTCAAGCCAGCTCTCCTCTGCCGTCCTTGGGAGGTAAGTGGTGAATGGGCCATGGGATAGCTGCAGCGCTCACTTGGGGCCTTCACACCCCATTGACACCCGGAGTGGGGTAGCTGCTCTTTGAGCAGCCTGGAGTTCAATTGGCTGTACGGGCCTTAGTAGGGGCGGGGAGAGGGCTGCACGCTGGGGTTCATTGGTCGCTTCTGTTGTCCGTGAGAAGGTTGGCCGAAGTTGGCTCTGGTCTGGCTCCTCTAGGTAGGGGGTTCTGCGACCGGTGACAGGGGTTCCGGAAGAGCTGAAAAGGTGGACTGCAGTGGCTGATGAACTCTTCCTAGCGTCCTTGTGGAAGCCCTTTTGAAGCAGTCACGTGTCCTGGCCCGCCTTGCCCTTACCACCTAGGTTGGTGTCTGGTTTCCAGACTCAGTTCCTTTTTGGGTTTCCCTCTCTTGGCCTGCTATTTCACCTGGCCTAGTGGAGGTGGAGAATCAGCCTTTATCAATGCCTCTTTTTGTTTGTTGGTTTTGATTTTTTGAGACAGTTTCTCTGTGCAGCTCTGGCTGTCCTGGAACTAGCTTTGTAGACAAGGCTGGCCTTGAACTCACAGAGACCTACCTGCCAATGGTTGGGATTCAAGGTGTGTGCCACCACCACCCTGCACCAATGACTCTTGATCCCTCTTACGTTCTTACAGCTCCAGATCCACTGCCTTCTAAGCAACTTAACACCTGATTATAGCCAAAGGACCAACAAGCCCCTGTAATGACACTGAACCAGGATTCTGAGGCTGGAAGCCACTGGGGCTTTTCTTTTTGGGATCTTGGTTAGCCGATTTAGCTCGTGGTTAGCACGGCTTACACCAGCAAACCAACAACTAGCTTTGGGGAATAAGAGCTATGACCTCCAGGCCTTGCTCTCCCACTGACCCAGAACATGGAGTTAGGCCAATTCTCTTCTCTCTCTCTGGACTCATTTCCCCTCTGTCCGGTGAGGAGAGAGGACTTCATGTTCTCAAAGCATTTGCCAACTCTGACCTAGAACTCCATGTTGCCTGCAGCCTCCTCTACTTAACTATGTTTCTGTCCTCTGTTCTCTGGGAGAGGGAGCTGCAAATGCTTTATGAAAGTCTATTTAAAATATGGACTTCAACTTCTCAACCTGCCACATACTGGGCTTCTTTGATTGGACAACCTGGGTTCATGAGGGAGAGCTTTGTAACCTCCTAAAAGAAACTACCCATGTCTGCATAGAGCAGATGAGGGGTCTGTGCTTGGGGAGTTTTCTGGGACTAGAACAGAGCCCATTGTGACATCTGGCATAGGCAGCATTTGTAGGACAGGTTCAGCCCTGGCAGTGATGTTGCCTACCATGAACAGGGCTGCATAGATTGTGAGCCATATCTGGTCCAGGCCCTTACAAGGCTGGCTCATTGCCACAGCTGAAGTCCAGGAGGAATTAACTGCTGGGAGTTACAGGGTCAGCCTTGCATCTCCCAAGGACACTAGCTTTGAAATAACCTCTCTGACCAAGAAGCTGCCCCCTCCTTTTAAAGCAGAGTTTCATGTAGATAAGGATGATCTTGAATTTTTGATCCTCCTAGGTACTAGCACTACAGGTGTGTGCTACCATGCCAGGCTTCTATTCCATGGATTTTGATGTAGACACAAAGCCATTTCAAGAGTAGCAGATGGTAGATGTGGACTCACATATCCTAGGTCTCCATCTGGTTCTTCTTCATTTTCGGATGTGCTTATTATTCACTTAGGAAATGTTCCTTGTGGGTCAGGCACAGTGACAGTGGAGAGTGAGACAAACATGTGTACTGTTTTTAGGCTGGGAAGAGAGCTGAGAGGTGATAATCAGGTAGACTTATGTCTCTTAGATGAGCAGGGTACAGTATAAGTAGAATTTAACAGCCCAGGGAAGGCTCCCAGGAGGAAGGGCTATCTATGCTGCCTTCTGATAGAAGGCATGGAGAACATGCCGATAATATGAATCTGATATTAACAAATACTAGAAAGAAAAAGAAGTTTCAGGTATGCCTGTGACTGTATATGTAGTAAGGGACCCTGGGGACTCTGGTCCTACTAGTCAGCCTTCCTAGTTCTTGGCTTGGGCCATTGAGTGGCATTCCTGTGTTGCTAGTGCCAGGGTGATTGGGTCCCTTGTAACTGTGGGCTAGAGGAACCCAGCAGGGAATGACCAGCTTTCTGGTCTTCTGGAAAGAAGACAGGGCCCTTCAGAAAATGGCTATGGTGTCTCTGCTTTTGGATAGAACACTCCAACTGGTAGGTAAGTGGCAGAGAAGAACTTAGCTCTGCCATGCCAGTGCCTCCTCAGGTATTCCTGAGTGGGGCACAGCAGGAAGGGGAGGAAAGCTTTCCTATGGAGCTGAGGACATGACCTCTCCTTCCAGGACAGTGGGTTACCTCTTAGCACCTAGCCCGTTTGGCACAAGCAACTTTTTTCTCTGAAGCTGTCTGAGTGTTACAAGCATGGCCAAAAATGGCTGCTTCCCATTCATGGGATTGGGGACATTCATCATCCATCCAGGATACACCACAAAGTGAAAGCTATCCTAGAGATTTCTATCTGTTGTCAATCCTCCAGAAATGGCTGTGCTTTTCTAGGCATTTTTTTTTTTTTTTTTCCGAGACAGTGTTTCTCTGTGTAGTTTTGGAGCCTGTCCTGGAACTAGCTTTGTAGACCAGGCTGGCCTGGTATTCATAGAGATTACGCTTGCCTTTGTCTCCCGAGTGCTGGGATTAAAGGTGTGCACCACCAATGCCTGGTTTCTAGGCCTTTTTTTTTTTAAATGTCTGATGTGAAGGGTCATTCCCTAGGGATGACAGTGCTTATCCCAGGGCAGTGTGATGCTATATCCTCCTTACATCCCCATTTGCATTTATTATAGTGACTATGTACTGGCTTTCTAATAAGGAAAGACAATGAAATTATTGCTTAGACTTGGTGGCTTGTTTAGATTATCCTTTTGCAACATTTCAAGTTTATGTCTTTTTCCTTGCACATGTAGCAGTGATTGGCCAAAAGAGAATCAAAAGCCAATGTACAAATGGGATGGGGACATATAGTTCTGTATTTGTTTTGTTTTAGAGACAAGACCTCACTCTGTTACCCTGGAACTCACTGTGTACACCAAGCTGGCCTTGAACTCACACAGATCCATTCCATTTATATCTGCCTTCTAGGGGTTGGGATTAAAACTACAATGTCAGGCTAAGGCATAGTTTTGTTTTTTGTTTTGTTTGTTTATTTGTTTGTTTGTTTTGAGACAGGGTTTCTCTGTGTAGCTTTGGAGCCTATCCTGGAACTAGCTTTGTAAACCAGGCTGGCATCAAACTCACAGAGATACACCTGCCTCTGCATCCTGTGTGTTGGGATTAAAGACGTGCACCACCAACGCCCGGCTGGCTTGAGGCATATAGTTTTTATTATGCTGATCCACAAAGGCATGCATGAAGTATTGGGCCAGCTTTGTCTGGTGCTCCTGTGGAACAGTTGTTGGCTTTGGAATGTCTTAGACACATGATGAACTCTTGATTACTGGTTATCAGTTCCTCTCTGCCAAGAGCTTAAACTAGGTCTTTTGAACTTGACTTTTGGGATTGAATAGCTAAGGTTGCATCTGGGTTCTCTTTGACAGGTTCTAGGTGTCAATGAGGCCCCCTGGAGAAGCATTTCCTCAGTAAGTATCTGCCTTGGATGTGTATTTGCACATGTACAAATACTTGTGAGGGGGAGAGCTGTGCTCATGTATTTCTGTGTGAGCACATAATGTGTATGGGACTGTGTGTACTATCTGTATATCTGTATATGACCCATGCACACATGACTGTTGCTCCCTGGCCCTCTTATATCCTTCTCCCTGAGGCACAGTCTCCAGAGGTCACTCACACCTTGCCTCTTGAGTTGTGTTAGACAGAATCCCTTGTGAAAAGAACCCACTTCCCTGGCCACAGCCTTGTTCCTCCAACCTTGGCTGATCCATGTCTTCTTCTTTTCTGTCTTCCCTCTAGCAACAAACAATTGTGAGTATTTTCTGTATTAGATTTGAGGGGCTCTTAGTTACTCTGGGTTGCTCCAGGTGGGCTTGGGGTGGTGGTGACTGCTCATCAGAAGCCCCAGAACAGCAAGCTTGCCTTGGCTGGCCTGTGGGATTGGTACTGGTGGGAAGAAGGCAAGTGGCTCAAGTCAGGATACACATTGGTGTATCCAAGGTCTTACTTTTACCCTCTTCCTTCTTCTAGCCTCCATCTGCTAAGTATGGTGGGCGGCATACAGTGACTATGATCCCAGGGGATGGCATTGGTCCGGAGCTCATGTTGCATGTTAAATCAGTATTTAGGTATGTAGAGCCTGGACTTTCCTCCCTTACCTTCTCTCCCAGGGAGGGTTGTACTCCAGGCCAAGCAGGAAGCTACCAAGAACCTTGTTTCAAGAAGCACAGAGAACTCAGAAGCCCATCAGCTTTGCCCAAGTACCTAATGGGGTGGTGGCACGAAAGCCCACCTGTAAACCCAGGACTTTGATGCCAATGTTTCTCATCCTGCTAGGCTTACCTGGGCATAAGGAAAGGGGCACTAGTCCTGTGGAAGTCAAGTGTGACCCCCCCTCATGTTTGGCATGGGTGGGTCCAGTTCCCTCTTAGTTGGAGGCAGGTCAAGGTGGGAAGCCAGCAGGAAAAAGACTGATATAGGCTTCAGGAGGGGGTGTGGAAGGCCCTACGCCAGCCTCTTTAGCGTGGCTTTACTCCAGGCATGCATGTGTACCAGTGGACTTTGAAGAGGTACATGTGAGCTCCAACGCTGATGAGGAAGATATCCGAAATGCCATCATGGCCATCCGCCGGAACCGTGTGGCCCTGAAGGGTGAGCTGAGGGGTCAGATTGGAATGCTATACATAATTCTTTTTATTGATATACTGACTTTTATGTGTCCCCATGGTTCCAGTTTCAGGGATTTTTCAGGTTATTAATGACTCTTATTCTTGGCATCTGGGTAGAGGCTTCTGTGGGCCTGTTGACCTCATGGTTCTGATACACCTCTGCTGGGATCTGCTTTGACCCACAGCTTTTCTTCACAAACTAAAGATCAGATATGTAGTTTGCCTTCTTGCTTGCCGTTACATGAGTTTTTTTTTTTTTTTTTTTTTTTGTTTTTGTTTTTGTTTTTGTTTTGTTTTTTTTTTCATTTTTGGTTTTTTGAGGCAGGGTTCTCTGTATTGCTTTGGAGCCTGTCCTGGAGCTAGCTCTATAGACCAGGCTGGACTCAAGAACTCACAGAGATCCGCCAGCCTCTGCCTCCCAAGTGCTGGCATTAAAGGCGTGCTCCACCAATGCCCAGCTGGAACACAAGTTCTTAAGGTCTTAATAATAAAAGCCTAGAGTCCAATTTAGGAAGTGAAAGCTGAAAGATTAGAAAAGCAGAACATCCATCCACTAGAGCTCTTACTCTACGAAATCCTCAGACTGAAAAGAAACCAAGCTCCTGTCTCTTCCAGCCTATATTCCTCTCTCTGTCCAGCCACCTCATTTCCTATCTGTCTGTACACATTTCCAGACCTCTGTAGTAAGATAGCCACCCCACCCACACCTTTTGCACTGACCATGCCATTGGGATGTGGGCACAGGTGCAGACATGGGAAGGGGGAAGTTCGATCTCTTACTTCCTGTTTGGGTTTTGGAGAGCATCCGGATGGAATCCTTGGAGTGGGAACCCTCGGGGGTCATCTGTTTCAGATATAACTGATTTTTCCCCAAATGAACATCATTCAACCTATAGAGTGTCCCAGTGAATGTTATTTCCCATGTGATAGCTAGACCTCTTTGGTTAACTAGTAGATAGCTCCTCCCTTTGATGTTTAGGCAAGCTTTATTTGTTAGAGTATAAACAAGATATCACCACATTTCTCTATATCCCCCTTTTTTGTCTCTTCAGAGTAGATTCAATAATTTACCCTTTTGTCCTATCAGCCTGCTGCCTTGGCTCCAAGTTTCATAGTCATGACATTATACATAAGGATTCTAACAACCTTTCCTGGGGCTTGCCTTGCTTGGAGGCACAACCTTAACTTAATAAATCATTTTATAAGTTTAACCCATCCACATTTAATAGGCCTTAGACGAGCCACAGGGTACCATAAGCTGTTTGGGTCAAGTCATTCTGGACAGGGAACAACTTGTAGGTGGGGAGGTGGTCCTGGTGGGCTGCCAAAAAACACTTTTCTACTTGGCACTGTCTAATCACCTAGCAGATACTACCTCATTGGCCTCACTGGGCCTCTGTTTTCCTTCCTATAGATATCTAGGCCCAGACATGATGTGGCCTAGTTGGGGCCTCCACCTGCCTCTGAGCTAGGCATGGATAACACATCAGTTTGGGGTCCAGCAGTAACCCCGACCAAGGTCACCTTGTTCACCCCAGCATGGCCAGCCAGTTTATTCATAAGCAAGCCTGGGTAGTAAGTGGCAGGGTATCGTGGCTAGCTATCAAGTATATTTATTAGTTTATTTAGTAAATATTTATGGAGTGTCTACTATGTGCCAGGTGCTTGTCAAAGTTCTTGAAACTCATGGGTCGTGCATGCTCCCTCCCTCTTCCTTTCACATGTACGAGCTCGCTCGTGTGTGTGTGTGTGTGTGTGTGTGTGTGTGCGCGCGCGCGCGCGTGCATGCACACACACACCTACCTCATTGAGCCTCATGGAGTTCACAATGGCAATTATATCCTACAGTTCGAGGAAATATTTTGCTCATGAGAGCAATCTTCTTTACTTGGATCAACCTTTGATTGATCTAACCTTTGAACATTCCCTGGGCCAGGTAGGGGATGGGTATCACAATGCAGCTGAGTCCAGAGAATCCCTTTCTAGCTTGCCTTTCTTGTTTGTATTTTGTCCTATAGGCAACATCGAAACAAATCATAACCTGCCACCATCCCACAAATCCCGAAACAACATCCTTCGGTGAGAAGCATGTACATGGATGGAGTGGTGGCTCAGTGAAGGCCAGGGTGGGCTGTGCTGCCATTCATGACCCTGGCTGGTTGCTAGTTGGGCCTGGTTTGACTTTCTCCCTGTCACACTCCCAGTACCAGCCTAGACCTCTATGCCAATGTTATCCACTGTAAGAGCCTGCCAGGAGTGGTGACCCGGCACAAGGACATAGACATTCTCATTGTTCGGGAAAACACAGAGGGAGAGTACAGCAGCCTGGAGCATGAGGTAGGCAAAGCTACATGATCCTTTTTGGTAGGTGGTAATGATTATGGTCAGGGTCAGAGTTGAGAAAGCTTCAGAAACAAGGAAAAGGTGCCCCTACTCAAGGAGTTGGAAAAGCCAGATATACTCAGCGATAAGGCTGAATGTATCCTATTGTGCTCCCATTAAGCCCTTTGTTGTTCCCTGACCTCTTCTCAGAGTGTAGCTGGAGTGGTGGAGAGCTTGAAGATTATCACCAAGGCCAAGTCCCTACGCATTGCTGAATATGCTTTCAAGCTGGCTCAGGAGAGTGGGCGTAAGAAAGTGACGGCTGTGCACAAGGCCAACATCATGTATGTCTGTTCCATACCTTTCTGCCTACTTTGAACAGCTCCAAAGTAGCTGGAAGAACCTGCTCAGGTCCCACAGCAGGATCTAGGGTATCAGGGGCCAGACTTAAGACTGTATCCTGTTGACCCTGAGGCTCTGTGTCCTCACTGTAGTGAGATAGATGGGATTATACTTATTTTTCCATATGGAGAACAGGTTACAAGTTAGTCCTCAGGGTTCCATAGTTCTCTGTATACCCTGACTCTCCTGCTGAGTGTAGTGAGAGGCCAAGCTGGTGTCCTATATCCCCACTTCCTCCCATCGTCTAGGAAACTGGGTGATGGGCTCTTCCTCCAGTGCTGCAGGGAGGTGGCAGCACGATACCCACAGATCACCTTTGACAGCATGATTGTGGACAACACAACAATGCAGGTAATCAGCCTAGCTGGCTCTATAGCCTTTTGCCCACCCTTGGTTCTCATGGCTTATACAACTCAGCTCACTTCTTTTCCCACAGCTGGTATCCAGGCCTCAGCAGTTTGATGTCATGGTGATGCCTAATCTCTATGGTAACATCGTCAACAATGTCTGTGCAGGGCTAGTTGGAGGCCCCGGTCTTGTGGCTGGGGCCAACTATGGCCATGTGTATGCAGTATTTGAGACAGTGAGTAGCCCAGCACAACTCTGCTTATCTTTCTCTTGTATTAGCCTTGTGTCATAGTTGGTGTCCTACAGTGGTGTGTAGCCATTGGTACTGCTTAAGAGTAAGGGTTTCTAAAGGAAACACAGACCCATGAGCAACCCCATTCCCTCTCCCAAGCCCTGATATGCCTTCATTTGCTGTATCTGTGATACACCTCTATACAAGTAGAAGTATCTGCATTGCAGTTACATTTTCTCGCCTACACCCTTCTTCTTTCCTTTTCTAGGCTACAAGGAACACAGGCAAAAGTATTGCCAATAAGAACATTGCTAACCCCACTGCCACACTGCTAGCAAGTTGCATGATGCTGGACCACCTCAAGTAAGTGGCTTCTTAATGTCTAGTCATGAGTCCTCGGGCTTGTCTCTAGGCCCTGAGAACCAAAAGCTTGTTCTCTTCATCCCCTAGGCTCCACTCTTATGCCACCTCCATCCGCAAAGCTGTCTTAGCATCCATGGACAATGAAAATGTAAGGCTCTTCTTGTCCTCTCTTCCACCTCCAGTTTCTTCTCCTCTAGCCCATGTTATACTGGTCTGACCAGTCCTACATGCTTCAGCTAGTGAACAGCACTGGCTGTGGCATGTAAGGGAAGGGTGGTACTGGCCTCCTGGTGCTAGTAGCTTCTTGCCCTTCCAACTATTGGAAACAGTGGGTAGCTGTGGGCCACCATGGGGTTGTGGCAGACTTTGGCCTGATATGTTCAAGCTTCCTGTTTTCCTCCAGATGCATACTCCAGACATTGGAGGCCAAGGTACCACATCCCAAGCCATCCAGGACATCATTCGTCACATCCGCATCATTAACGGCCGGGCTGTGGAAGCTTAACAGCTTAACTATCCTTGCAGTTATCTCAACCTGTCAATAGGACCCTCTTCTCACTCTAGCACTCCAGCTAGCTTGGTGGACAGGCTCCAGAATAAAGCCACTTCTGCCCCACAACTTGGCCACATGCTTCCCTCATGCCAAGACACCAGTGTTTCTGGGTTCCCACTTTATTAAGAAAGAAACTCAGGACCCTCTGGGAGGATCACACATAAACAGGCTGAGATGTGGGACTTGCCCCAGCATTTCTGTCCTGTCATGGGGCGGGAATGAGCACAATAGCACCCAGCAGGTTGGGAGAGCAGCTCCCCCAGGTTGGTAGAAGTTGCCTGCTTTCCCTCAAGGCACTGCGAGCTAGGGCAAAGCCAGCACATCCCCTGCTGTCCACAGCTCCAGCAAGATTAGGGATTAAGCCAGGGGTGCTGGAGACAGTCAGCAGCACTGGCCCGCTTCTCAGGGATGTACTCCATCATAGGCAACAGGAAGGCGCTGAACTGTGTGGCTTGCTCCAAGGGCCACTCGTACTTCTCCATGAGTACCTCATATAAGCCCCAATGCTTGAGGTTGTGGATGTGCCGCAGCTGTCCTGGAGGGTGCACAGCATTAGGCTGTGTCTCCACGTGGGCTGGCACCCAGTATTCTCTCTTGTCAGAATCACGGTCCCTGACCTCCCCTCTGCTCTCCTATCCCCTGTGGCCTAAACCTACCTACTTGGTTCCTACCTCTGCGGTTGAAGAACTCCCGTGAATAGCGGCCTGAGAGGGCGAAAGCTGGCGGGATGTCTCCCAGAAGCTCCACAATATGAGCAATGTGGTCTGTAGGCCAGAGAAGGTTGGGAATCAGAGTGGGGCAGCTGGAGATCCTAAAGCCAAGGCCAGGGGTTGCCTCCCCTACCCTCATCACGACTGTAGTCTTCTCCAGAGTGAGGCTCAAACAGGTAGTCACCAGTGGCCAGCTCGAAGGCCTGGAAGGGAAGGGAAAAGTGAGGCTGTGGCAGGTGTGGGCCCTAGGCATGGAGGCAGCTGGACGAGCATACCATGCATGCTGTGCTCCAGATGTCAGCTGGGGGCCCATACTCCGCACCAATCAGCACCTCCACTGCCCTGTACTGCCGAGTCTGAATGTCCTCGGTGAAGTGTTTGTGCTGGAAGAAAAGGGAATCCTGCGAACAGGTGCCTCTGCCCAGACTAGCCTTCCCCCACAGCCCAGTCCTGCCTCTGGTCCAGGCCCCTGAAGCTTCATGGAGGTCACTCTGATTATTAGAATTCGCCAGATGTTTCAGGACAGACTGTCTAGGTGACCTGAGGGTAGCTCCTTCCTAGTGGCTTCTGTTCTTTGCCATGGGCATAGTTCTGGCCTGGCAAGTCTTTTCTGCTGAAACAGCAAGAAGTAAGTCCGCTGTACTCAAGGAGACTTGCTGGCTCTGTGAGTCCTAGGTCATGCCAGAGGCCTAGCTTAGGGCTCTGTTATCCCAAAATGCTCAGCATACCACCCAGCAGGCGTTTCCCAGGTCTGCGATCTTGATCTTGATCTTGTCTGCATTTTGGGGCTCCAGGGGGTTCACCAGGAGGTTGGAAGCACCAAATGGTGCTGGGGAAAGAAGAGGAAGAGAGACTGATCTGGCCCTGCTCTTCCTGGTCCTGCCTATCCACTACCCACTGTTAACTGCACTTACTGCTAGGAGAGAGAAGACCTCCAGTCTCACGCTGATTAGATGAGCCTGAGAGGATGGAGCAGGAAGCCGTGGAAAACAGAGACCCCGAGAAACCTGAGGTCTGTGAGCTAGGACTAAGGCTGCGGTCAGCCCCAGGTGCAGGGGAAGAAGAGGCTGGAGAGGGGCCAGCCCTGGTGCTCTCTGGATGGCAGCCTGAAGAAGAGGTGGAGCCGCTGCCCCGCTCTAGTTTTGAGCCGGAGTCTGGGGAGAAGGGGCAGAATGGCACATGAGCAGAAGGCTATATTCCACATGCACGCTTAGTGGCCCATTGCCCTCGCTGGCCCCTCACCCTCAGCCTGTACTGTGGCCTCCATGGCCTCCAGCCTCTGCAAGTCCCGCAGCCTCTCCTCCAGCAGCCGCTTCTGTTGCTTCCTTTTTCGCCTCATCTTCTTCCTCTTGTTTTTGGACAGCTTACCAGTCTGCCACCAGAGTCAGGGTCACCTCCCTGGTTTCCCTATCTAGCCCTGGACCCCAGAATTAACTCCTGTCGGTGTCAGAAAAATGATGCTCCCCCTTAGTCCCATCTATTTCTCTGCCTCTCCTATACTCCTACTCACTTAAGCTTTGGGGAGAATCTGGTGGGCCCACCCTAAATTATTTTTTGTCCACTCCTAGCTTAGATGAAGTAGCCATTTGGGGAAGGCACAGTATCCTCCTATTGAGGCAGTATGGAGCACATAGCCCACTCTTGTGTAATCACTCTTTTCATGTATCCAGCTTTTTGGAGGTACCACTGCACAAGTTCAAAAGGTGTGGCTGAGGAGCCAAGCTCTGAGGACATGGCCTCTTCTGGCTTGGATGAAAAAAGGAAACGGGAAGAGGGTGTGCCACAACTTACCAAGACCTCCTGGGGGGCGGTGCTGACTGAGGGTAGGGGTTAGGGAGAGAAAAAGAATAGTAATTCAGGTAGGGATTGTGGCCTTGAGTCCTGATACCAGTCCCCACACATGCTCTTGGTACCTGTAGAGCGGGATGGGGGCTGGGCCCCTGACTGCTGCCACTCTGTGGCTTCAGCAGCCAGGCGCCTGATGTAGGCATCTCCAACACACAGTAGGATGTTCTCAGGCTTGATGTCAGTATGGATGATCTTGCACTTGGTGTGGAGGTAATCCAGACCATGTAGCACCTGGTAAAAGCTAAAAGCTATAGCTAAACCCCAGCAGCCACACCCAGCCAAGCTGGGCAGCCTGGGCAAACACCTACCTGCCTAACGATGCTCTTAACACAGGGTACAGGTAAGCCCTGGTAGTTGGACTTGATGATCCACTTGAGGAGCTGGTGGCCCAGGACCTCTAGCACCATGCACACATCTGGACTTGGAGTGAAGGGCAGCCAGCAACCACAGCTAATGCACAGGTTTACCTCCCCTTTACCAATGAGGAGCATCTAGGCTTTAGCAGTACAGAGGTCAGCAAGGCAGGACTTTACCTGGACCATCTTGGTGGCTACCACTGTCTCAGTTTATTATATATAGTGTTTCTGTCACCAGCAAAGATGTGCAAGTTGGGATGGTACCTTTGATCATCATAGAGATGCCTCTCAGACCAGCCTTACTGTTATGCCAGCCCAATTGTTCAAAAGGCCTCAAAAGCAGCCTTTTATATTTTGGGATTATTCAGCAGTGTCCACAGATAATCATTGTCTACCTAACTACCTGTGTTCCCCCTACTCAGAAGCACAAATGTTCAAAGGGCATTGTGGGGTTGTTTCATGGGCTGTCGCTGCAAGAGCAGAGTCCCAGACCAGATGTCTGAGGTCCTATGACTGTCACATTGCTCATCCTTTGAAGGATACGGACTCCATTAACTCCTGAGATCCTGAAATCATCAATGAGCTGAACAATGGTCTCTCTTTTGGGGTCACTAGGGTCACTGTCTCGGACCTGGAACAAAAAGACAAGGAGCCACACAGATGGCTCCAACCTGTTTCTCACCAGCTGTTCAGCTCCTCTTAAGCACTTCTGGGGCCTACTTAAAGAAAGGCAGCTGCCTCTTTCAGGTCTCTGCCCTCCAGGTCTTAATTGGCAGAGCCAGCTGGAGCCTGCCCCCTCTGGGGGGCCCCTGCCCTACTCAGCAGGGCTCCAGCAGGCCCTGCACCCACATTGCCAGGCCCAAAGCAGTTTGAGAAGCCAGGAACAGTAAGGGAGGTGCCTCACACATTTCAGGAGCTTGATCTCATCCACAGCTGTCTCTGTGAAATGCCCTGCACTCTTCACTACTTTTAGGGCCACGAAGCGCTTGCGCCTGTAATATGGAAACCCTTATTGGCTGCCAGCCTTTGCCAGACTCACATGGTCATGGTGGTGGCCTCATTCAAACCCACAGGCAGATCCCAGCTACTCACTGAATATCCCAGCAGAGCCAGACTGTAGAGAAGTGGCCCCAGCCTAGCTTGCGCACCACATGGTACCGTCCATTGAATAAATCACCTATCTTCACTGGGTAGTAGCCACCTGCAGAAGGAAGCCAATAGATCAGAGTAGGACATCACTCTCCTATCCCTCAAGTAGCCCAGTCCTGCTGATAATCTGTCCCATGAGGGGCCTAGTTTCTGGGCACCTTCTTCCTCCCAGGCTGTCCTGAGCCCCTGTGGCAATCTGGTGAACCACATGCAGTCAAGGTCAGGCCTTACCCCTGCAATAGTCTTTGGGGTCTTCCTGCTCCTCCTCATCAGAGCCTAGGAGCCCCTGCAGCAACCGAGGTGCTGCTGTGGCTGGAGCTAATTCAGAACCTGAGGACTCAGGGCCACAGGAAGTCTGAGAGCTGTGGGTGAAGAGGGAGGATGCAGGCAGTGAGCTCACAAGGTATAAGGGACCTCAGTCTCCCCAGCCTGGCCATACATACCTGCTGCTACTGCCACCACAGTCCATACCACCACTACCACCAGCACTGGCACTCATCCTGGTGTCGCAGCCCAAAGCTCTGGTGCACTGGACCACTGTTCCTGTGGGGCCTAGCTGTGGCCAGTACATTTATAGCCTCTGCCGCTGATCTCACCCGTCTTTATAAATAGCCTCCCAGCTGCTCAGCTGTGGGCAAGGTATGCAGCATAGGGAGGGGGCAGTGCACCAATGGCAGCTCTGAAGAGCCCAGCCCCTAGACTGAACCCTCCGTTCCCACACTCTAGAGACAGAAGGGGTCACCAAACTGGGGTTATAGTAGTGACTCAGCCTCTAGGTTGATTCCACCCAGTCCAAGACCAACCAAGGAAAACATCTACATGGAGATGTAGTAGTCTGCAGCTCCTACACCCTAGGACGGTGGGGAGAGGAGACTACAATGAAAGAATGTAGTTTGACATGGTGACCAGATCCTTAGGCTGAACCCTCTCCAAATGTTGCATGTCACTTGGTGTATTCTTGAACTTCCCGCTTAACCCATGTGAGTATCCTTCTGGAGGTGAC